CACAATCTTTTAAGAAACCCACGCAGCTTTGGAGGAGAAGATGAACACATTTGGTTGAAATGTCATCTTCATTTACATTTCATTCCACCTTAAATGAATATATTATTCATTTAATTGTGATAAGACCAAAACACCCTTAATGAATCTCCAAAATCACCATAAAACCAAGCCATCTGATATTACAAAGTCAAATATAATTTAATTTGACTTTGACCTACGAAAATGCCCTAAAATTTTCAAAACTTACGTTTTAGTCACTAAATTCCACAGTTTCACTTTAATCTGAAAAATTGCACAATTCCAAACCAAATTTCTCTGATCCAAAATATTACAATAATATTTCCAACCATTTTATAACATCCTTCAAATTTTTGTAAAATTCCGATTCGATCAGAATTTACCGATTTCTTACCGGCTTTAACTCTTTCTTTACTAAATTCTAAATCCAACAATATGATTTCCATAAAACTCCACTCTCAAGAGTAGACCATCTATTTATGGAATAAAATTCTTTTTACGAAATTATCACTTAATTCCCTAAACTTATTTCTCAAATTTCTAATTTGACCATCAAACTTTCAAAATTTACATTTTGGTCATCATCTAGATTTTTGGGGTATTACAAGAACAAGGAATGAAAGTCCTTGTGGAGCAAAAGCTACTTCCAGGCTTAACAAAGGTATCACTTACTTTGTGTGACCATTGCATAATAAGTAAGCAGCATCAGTTGAAATTCAACAAATCAAATTCTAGAGGCAAAAGTGTTCTAGAATTGGTTCACTCTGACGTATGGCAAGCACCAGTTACATCCCTAGGTGGAGCAAAATACTTTGTCTCATTTATTGATGACTACTCCAGGAGATGTTGGGTGTACCCTATCAAGAAGAAGTCAAACGTGTTTTCAACTTTTAAAAACTTCAAGGCGCGGGTGGAACTTGATTCTGGAAATAAGATCAAGTGTTTCAGAACAAATAATGGAGGAGAATACACAAGCGAAGAATTTGATGACTTTTGCAGGAAAGAAGGCATCAAAAGACAGTTCACAGTGACGAACACTCCTCAACAAAATGGAGTAGCAGAGCGGATGAACAGAACCTTGTTAGAAAGAACAAGAGCAATGTTGAGGGATGCATGCCTAGAAAAATCATTCTGGGCAGAAGCAGTCAATGCCGCCTGTTATTTGGTGAATCGAGCTCCATCAACTGCAATAGAGCTGAAGACACCAATGGAGATGTGGACTGGTAAACCAGCTGATTATTCAAACCTCCATGTATTTGGAAGTATTGTGTACTTGATGTACAACTCCCAAGAAATCTCAAAGCTGGATCCAAAATCCAGGAAATGCAAATTCTTGGGGTATGCTGATGGAGTCAAGGGGTATCGCTTGTGGGATCCCACTGCCCGCAAAGTGGTCATCAGCAGGGATGTTATCTTTGTAGAAGATAAACTACAAAGAAAAGAAGATGATGATAGCACTGAAAAGTCAGAGACTACTCAGATACATGTGGAAAAAGAGTTTGAACAAGGAGATTCTTCTGAAGCAGAACCAGCACATGATGAACAAGAACCAGAGAGTTCTAAAGCTCCAACAACTCGTCAATCAGATCGTGTGAGAAGATGTCCCAATTGGCACTCAGATTATGTTATAGAAGGTAATATTGCATATTGCCTTTTAACGGAGGACGGTGAGCCATCAACATACCAGGAGGCAATAAACAACTCAAATGCTTCATTATGGATGATGACGATGCAAGAAGATATTGAAGCCCTTCATAAAAATAATACATGGGACCTTGTGCCACTACCACAAGGAAGGAAGCCAATTGGTAACAAATGGGTCTTCAAAATAAAGCGAAATGGTGACGATCAAGTTGAGAGGTATCGTGCAAGACTTATGGTCAAAGGATATGCTCAAAAAGAAGGTATTGATTTCAATGAAATATTTTCTCCTGTGGTTCGACTAACAACAATTCGAGTAGTTTTGGCAATGTGTGCTACATTGGACTTACATCTAGAGCAGCTAGATGTTAAAACAGTTTTTCTTCATGGAAATCTTGAAGAAGAAATTTATATGCTCCAGCCTGAAGGTTTTGAAGAAAAAGAAAAGAAGAACTTGGTTTGCAGGTTGAACAAATCTCTGTATGGTCTAAAACAGGCGTCGAGGTGTTGGTATAAGAGATTTGATTCTTTCATTATGTGCCTTGGATACAACAGACTTAATGCAGACCCTTGTGCTTATTTCAAGAGGTCTGGTGATAATAATTTTGTTATATTGCTGTTGTATGTGGATGACATGTTGGTTGCAGGACCCAACAAAGATCATATTGACGAATTGAAGGCACAACTGGCTAGGGAATTTGAAATGAATGACTTGGGATCAGCAAACAAGATTCTAGGGATGCAAATTCATCGAGACAGAAGTAATAAGAAGATTTGGCTTTCATAAAAGAATTACTTAAAGAAGATCTTGTCACGATTCAACATGCAAGATTGTAGGCCAATTTCTACCCCTCTTCCTATAACTTCAAATTATCCTCCAGTATGAGTCCTAGCAGTGAAGAAGAGAGGATGGAGATGTCTCGAGTACCGTATGCATCGGCAGTGGGAAGTTTAATGTTCGGTATGATATGCACAAGACCAGACATTGCATAAGCAGTGGGAGTGGTCAGTCGGTACATGGCGAATCCAGGCAAAGAGCATTGGAATACAGTAAAGAGGATTCTTAGATACATCAAAGAGACCTCAAATATTGCATTATGTTACGGAGGATCAAACTTACTTATAAATGGGTATGTCGATTCTGACTATGCAAGGGATTTGGATAAAAGCAAATCTACCACATGATATGTGTTCAAAGTTGTTGGTGGAGCTGTAAGCTGGGTTTCAAAATTACAGTCAGTTGTGGCTACATCCAAAACAGAAGCAGAATATGTAGCAGCTACACAAGCCAGTAAAGAAGCAATTTGGTTGAAAATACTATTGGAGGAGCTTGGGCACAATCAAGAGTATGTCTCTCTGTTTTGTGATAGTCAAAGCGCCTTGCATCTAGCAAGGAATCCAGCATTTCATTCAAGGACAAAGCACATACGAGTTCAATACTATTTCATTCGTGAAAAGGTGGAAGAAGGGACGGTAGATATGCAGAAGATCCATACCAAAGACAACATAGCAGATTTCATGACAAATGCGATCAACGCTAATAAATTTACTTGGTGTCGATCCTCTTGTGGCCTGTCAGAGACGTAAGCAACATGATGGTACAAGGTAGAAAGAATGATGTGAAGATATGATTGTTCCAATCAAATCTTCAAGTGGGAGATTGTTGAAAGTCAAATTGCACAAAATCAATTTTGGTGGCTTTGCACATGGCAAATTCGGTGGCTTTCGGTGGAATTAAATGGATGCAGCATTTGTTGATTTTTGCAACAATGGTAAAACCTCAATTTTAGCCATTGTAATTTAGAGTATTTACAAATTAGTCCTTAGAGCTTCAACTATAAATACCCTAGCTCATTTAGCTTCAAAACCATCCCAAAGCATTCTAGCTTTCTTCCAATACTAGAGAGAATTTAGAGAGTTTCTTGAGAGTTGTTTTCTCCTTTTTATCAAGAGAGAATTATCATTGTTTTCTCCTTGGTAGATCGAGAGAGGTTGTAATTCCTATTTTCTCATAGTGAAATTCTTCTACCGTTGCCCGTGGTTTTTACCCTATATTATTTAGGGTTTTTTCACATAAATTTTGTGTCTTCTTTATCTTCATTTTTATTTTTTCAAATTATCAGTTGCGATTTTACTCTATTCGATAGCCGTCTTCCACAACACTTGTAATGCATGTTAAGTCAAATTCGACCTTAAATGGAACAGAAAGCTACCATGAATGAAACGAAACAAACCTCATGGAACCAAGTCTTGAGCACTTTGTGCCTCTAATGAATAGCACACATCTTTATATATGCTTCATATTTAACAGATTCAAGAAGAGTACACAAGTCAGCAACTGCAAGACTACTACTGCAGTCTCACCAGGTAAGTCCCGGAACAGCAAAAAAACCGCATTCAATTCAGTAGAATATTTACCGGAAGAGACCCATGTCTGAAATCACGAAGTTACTAGCTTCACAGCATAACAATATTATTATATTAGATCATATTACCATATTCGTTAAAACTTAATAGTACAAAATCAAAATCAAAATCAAAATATAATCGTAATAATCAAAATGTCAACAAAAAGAATCGAGTGATTAGAATAGAAACACGATCATCTACAAGAAAGAAAGAAAGAAAATCGAAGTGAATAAGAGGGTGAAATAAGGAGAGGCCTTCGAAGCTGCCAATCAGTTATAATTATCATTCAAAGTTTTGAGATAAAAAAACAATTCAACTTTTTTAAATCATAATTTGAGAAAAGAAAAGAAACGTTTATTTAAATATCATTTAGAGTTAATGTAAAACAAAAACAAAAAAGATACGTTCATTATGATAATCGAAGACAGGACCAAAACGAAAACGATCAAAGCCTTAGATAAGGTCAAACCCTTTTAGTAGTCCCTATACTAAGTGAAAGATGTGGACTTAGTCCCTATATTTCTAATTTAGTCATTTTGAGTCCTTGTGCTCTTCAAATTTTGAAATTTCAATCCCGACTCAAACAATAATTGTTAAATATACTAAGTCAAATTCTACTCTTAGTTCTTGTAATGCATGTTGAGTCAAATTCGACCTTAAATGGAACAGAAAGCTACCATGATTGAAACAAAAGAAACCTCAAGGAACCAAGTCTTAAGCACTTTGTGCCTCTAATGAATAGCACACATCTTTATATATGCTTCATATTTAACAGATTCAAGAAGAGTACACAAGTCTTGAGCAATTTGTGCTTCTAATGAAGAGTACACAAATTTTGAATAATAAATTCTAGCTTATACAAAACGCTCAAACGCTCAAAAAGCCTCTCCATTCCCCTTTAAATAAATTTAAGTAAAAACAAAACTTATACAAAAGATAGACTCAAAAAGAAAGAGCGCACAGAAACAGAGAGAGACAGGTCTGCCTTGGGAAGAGCTGTCTATCACTGCTCCAACGAACTTCTTCTTCTTCTGTGGTGCTCTATCTCTATCTGTTTATCTCTTGCCAGGTTTGTATCTCTCTCTCAATATAGTTTTTGTAGTGTTTTAGGGTCGATGGTTGAATTTCTAAACTGGGTTTTTTTTCTATTCGTGGAAATGAACAATTTTGGATCTGGGAATGCTCTGTTTCAAGGTGGATTTTTTATGAGTTTTTGTTGAATGTTGCTTTTGTTTTGTGATTTTTGATGGCTTTTTAGGTGATGGGTTGTGGTTGCTTTTGAGGTTTTGAACTGATTGGGTGACAAAGGGCCAATCATATGACGACCTTAAACTTTGCATTTTCTTTCACACAATCTAAGTTGGGTGCATACAATTACCAAATTTGTGGAAATGGGGATTTTGGATTTGTTCTTTTTATTGTTTGTTATTGCTGGAATGTTTGTCTGAGCAAAGGTCGTCATAAGCTGCTGTATGACCCAATTTTGGCATTCAAGAATAGGTTTTTCATCTTAAGCACAGATTCGAAATTAGCTCAATTTGGATAGTAGAGTGCAGTGTTAAAATGCCAGGTCGAATATCAATGGTGGAAACTGTGATTACCGAGTTAATTGGCTGATTCGATTGTAAAGGCAGTCTAAATGTTTAATTTTTAATGTTAATTATGGTAAATAATTAATACAAATACTCAAAACACCTTCGATTCTTAATAGAACCGTTCTGCTGGTTTATCTTGTCCGTTTTTCTTAACATCGGTATGGTTTAGTTGGGATTTGGGATTTGGGTTTTGTCCTTGATATCTTTTGTTTATTATTTGTTGAAGTAATTAATTGAATTTTGTCAATGTTTTTTTTTGGGTGTGAATTTTGTCAATGTTGAATGTAGACAGAGAGTATCCTGTAGTTGAACGAGTTTTTGTTTACTTATGAAGTTTGAGATGAATAGGAGAAAACGAGTTAGCTGGATCATGTGAGCATATAGGTGAAGGATAACAATGGCGTTTCTTTTTGGCCTAGAGGTAGAAATTGGCTGCTCATAATGTTAACACAATTTGCATTTGAAATGCCATAGATTTTTCGACTGAGCCACGACATATCTTGGATGCTTGCAGTTCATTCACTCTCTGGCTGTTTCTGTTGAAAATAAAGAAAAACTTTATTGTGTGTCATTATTATACCAAAACAAACATGTGCACTCGCACAATTTCCCTTTGTTTTGGTAGTTTTGTTCACGATTTTATTTTCCACCATCCACGGGTTCACCTCCAACCTTATCGTCTACCTGTGTTCCAGGAGAGGCATCCTGTCCGGCCCATTTGAACAGTTTTGACGGAAAAAAAAACTATAAACGACACTTATGAGTTTGATTTATGCAAGCTTCAAATTCGGTTTGACTCCTCAAACAAGACTTTCACGTAAAAAGTCTTTTACTACTCGATCATCACCAGGGCTTCTTAAAATCCGAGCCGTGCAAGAGAATGGAGGTCCTCGAAGACTGGTTGACATCATAAGGCTTGTGCCAGACATTTCCAGGAATTACTTTCGAAGTCCCTCTCGAAGGGCACTTTTTGGTGGAATCTCCCTGTTGGGAGGTTTTTACGTTGCACAAACAATCTCTCTGTCCTTTGGAGCTTTAGGAGTAAATGATGTGATTGCAGCTGTTGTATGTGTGCTACTGACAGAGTATGTGACAAGGTTTTATTACAGCCGTCCAAGGTAACCTTCCCCATTGCTCTTCTTAACAATTTCAAGATGGGTTTCACTTATGGACTTTTCATTGATGCTTTTAAGCTTGCCAGTTGATTATACCCATTTTATCACGATCCTTGTGGTTGACTTTAATTCTTAGTATCAAGTTTATATACCTCTCGAATCTCTCCCATTACGAGATATGTTTCAGTCTATTCTTCTCTTACACGTCGTTGAAGCTCAGACAAAATGATTTGATGTATTATATTAACCTAATTGTTATGCTGTGAAGCTAGTAACTTCGTGATTTCAGACATAGGTCTCTTCCGGTAAATATTGTACTGAATTGAATGCGGTTTTTTCGCTGTTCCGGGACTTACCTGGTGAGACTGCAGTAGTAGTCTTGCAGTTGCTGACTTGTGTACTCTTCTTGAATCTGTCAAATATGAAGCATATATAAAGATGTGTGCTATTCATTAGAGGCACAAAGTGCTCAAGACTTGGTTCCTTGAGGTTTCTTTTGTTTCAATCATGGTAGCTTTCTGTTCCATTTAAGGTCGAATTTGACTCAACATGCATTACAAGAACTAAGAGTAGAATTTGACCTAGTATATTTAACAATTATTGTTTGAGTCGGGATTGAAATTTCAAAATTTGAAGAGCACAAGGACTCAAAATGACTAAATTAGAAATATAGGGACTAAGTCCACATCTTTCACTTAGTATAGGGACTACTAAAAGGGTTTGACCTTATCTAAGGCTTTGATCGTTTTCGTTTTGGTCCCGTCTTCGATTATCATAATGAACGTATCTTTTTGGTTTTTGTTTTACATTAACTCTAAATGATATTTAAATAAACGTTTCTTTTCTTTTCTCAAATTATGATTTAAAAAAGTTGAATTGTTTTTTTTATCTCAAAACTTTGAATGATAATTCTAATTGATTGTCAGCTTCGAAGGCCTCTCCTTATTTCACCCTCTTATTCACTTCGATTTTCTTTCTTTCTTTCTTGTAGATTCTTTTTGTTGACATTTTGATTATTATGATTATATTTTTATTTTATTTTGATTTTGTACTATTAAGTTTTAACGAATATGGTAATATGATCTAATATAATAATATTTTTAATTTTAAATTTTATATATTTTATCAATTTAATTATAATTCAATAAATTCAAACAAATTATTTTAATTTTATCATCATTTTAATTATATATAATTTAATAAATTTTATCTTTTAATAAAAGGGGAAATATATTATTATTTTATTAATAAATGTTAAAAAATAAATAAATTATTAAATGTCACACATACACGCGCACACATGCACACACATATATTAAATTTTAGATTTATTTTAAATTATAATTGAAACATAATATTTAAATTTCAATTTACAAGTATTAAGATAATTTTAAAATCCAATAAAAATTTTAATAAAAAAATAAATTCAATATAAACTACAATATATTTTATTTTTAAAAAAATAAAGAATTTTACTTGGGTAAATTTAAGTCTTAATATAAAAATAAGTGTCTAAAATATACCGTTTTTCCTAAAGTGGTGGTGCTTAAACATTTTTTTCGGTTCATCTAGGTGCCTAACGTTACAGATGTTATTACTTTGGGTGCCTTGTTCGTAACGATTGTTAAAAAATCCCATTAAATAACACGTGACACATTCCGATAATTTTGAAATTTTAATTTAAAATAAAAAAATTAAAATCATATTAAAAATCTCAAAATTTTTGAATTTTTTAAAAAATATATCAAAATTTTGAAAACTCTAATTTCAACCTCTAAACTCACGTTGACTGCTGTCGAACCTCCACTCGACAACCAATAATCTCATGAAAATCCACTGGAATAGGAGCTAATCGACAACCAATCGATGCAACCCTCGATAAACCTTGACGCCGTAAATCGTGACTCCATATGATCCCAACGACCAATCGATGACACCTAACTAGGGAGATGACAATGATGACATCAACAGTAATGACCATGGCCTAAAAGGATGATATAACAAGTTAGGGTTAAATATTTAAAATTTTTTGGGATTTGAAGTTTTTTTATAATTTAAAAAAATTAAGGTTTTCTTAAATATAATAATATTAGTTTTTTAAACTATCGAAATATGACACGTGTCACTTAATAAATTTTTTAATGATTATTACAATCGAGATACCTAAAATAATAATATTTATAATGCTAAATCTCTAAATTGATCGAAAAAAGTTTGAGTACTACTTTGAAAAATAATATAATTTAATTATTTATTTTTATATTAAGCCTAATTTAGAGGTTCTTAATAACCATAACTATCAACTAATGAAATCTGCTGCCGACTGCCGATCGGTTCTTCGTAGGCAGCAGGCATATTCCTACCCATTAGACCATATTCTCTTTGCATCAACCTCTCTCTATCAGCGTATTATACGCCGTTACCGGAATCCGTTCAGGTTACGATTCCGGCGATCTCTTTCGTGATCCTATTCTTTCCCACCGAGATTTTCTCTTCAACTTCATATTCCCAAACTCAGTTAAAACTGAAGCTTCATCAACGCAATCCGTTGTTACTTATACTAATTTTAAGCGCTTATGGATTCAGACGGAGGCGGCAACAGGCGCGTCTACAAACGGCCAGGAATAGACTCCTCCAAAAACCAAAAAGTCTGTTTTCATTGGCGGGCCTGTAAGTGCACCCGTTTCCCTTGCCCTTTCTTGCACAGCGAACCGGCTTATCCTTCTGGCTCCGCCGCCTCCGCCACCGGTAATGGGTCTGGTACGCCCAAACGTTTCGCCGATGATTGCGGATTCTCGGGTCAGCTCCCACGCCGAAGCCCGAACTTCAAAAATAAGCATAATAATAGTTGTGGGAGAATGGGAGCGAACAAGGTGGTTAGAAAAACGGAGAAAGTATGTAATTTTTGGGTTCGAGGTAACTGTAGTTATGGAGACAAGTGTAAGTTGTTACATTCATGGAGTTTAGGGGAAGGTTTTAATATGTTGAATCACCTTGATGGGCACCAGAAAGTAAGTTCCTTTTTCTTGGGTGTTAATTGTTGGAAGTATCAAATTATGTGATTCTGATGATGATGATGTGTTTGTTTTGTGAACAGCTTGTTAGTGGAATCGTGTTGCCAGCAGGTATGGATAAGCTTTTTATGGGAAGTAAAGATGAGACTTTGAGGGTTTGGGACACTAACTCTGGTCAGGTTAGTGATGTACTGATGTACCTCTGTTTCTTTCTTTAATTTTGGTAGCTTTAATTTAGTTGTTATATCCCTGGGGAATACAATTATATATGTACATGTTTGTGTCTGTATATATATATTCTGATTATTTTTATGGCATTTTGTGTAGTGTACGGGTGTGATTAATCTTGGTGGTGAAGTAGGTTGCATGATCGGTGAAGGTCCTTGGCTGTTTGTTGGCATACCAAATGATGTCAAAGTAAGTTTCAGGCATATCTCTATCAGTTTGTTTCTTCTCTGCCACATTGTTCTCTGATACGAACTTAGAAGAACAATGTTTTTCTCCATTACTGGTCTTAACTTAATAACAATCATATTGTATGTATGGAACACCCAAACTAACCAAGAGCTTACTCTTAGTGGACCTGCTGGACAAGTTTATGCTATGGTTGTCTTTAATGATTTGCTCTTCGCTGGTACACAGGTAATGTTTTGAATATTAATTTGTGGTCTCATTTTTGTGCATTTCATTTGAAACTAATGTTCTCTGTGTACTGTCACTGTCGGTCACCTTTAATCATCTCTATTACTCTAGCTCTATATTTGTGATCTTTAGTAAAGAATATCTGTTTTCTGCAGGAAGGTATATTGATATGGAAATTTAATGCTGTCACAAACACCTTTGAACCAGCAGCATCACTTAAGGGTCATACCCTTCCTGTTGTATCGTTAATTGTTGGAGCTAATAGACTGTACTCAGGTTCCTTGGACCATTCTATAAAGGTAAGGTTGTTTTAAGTCTTTGATATTGCTGATTGAGAAACTTTGTAGTTCCAAACCAACATTAATGGATTTTCAGTTTTACCAACATACTATTTGTTTTCTTCAGGTCTGGAGTCTGGAAAATTTGCAGTGCATACAAACTCTGACCGAGCATAATGATGTCGTGATGTCCTTCCTTTGGTGGGATAAGTTTCTTTTGTCTTGTTCATTGGACAAGACCATTAATGTTAGTGTTATTTTGTGGCTATTTTATCATGTTTATTTTGTTAGATTTTCCTTCCATTAAAGGTAAATTTGTTTGGTTTTATTTATTTACTTTTTGCAGGTGTGGGTGACTACTGAGAATGGAAACCTGGAAGTAACATACACTCACAACGAAGAGAATGTATGTTGTATTAATAGATTATTCATGCCGTTTTTTTTATTTAATGCATTTAGTTGTAAGGAAAATGGGTTTGAAGACAGAATGGGAGAAGGGAAAACTTAATGTAGAGGAGAGGAGATCATTAATGGTCTTTGCTTGTAGTTTATGTTAGTTGGTAGAGGTGACTGACATAAGAATGGAGGTTGAGGCTGTGGTGGGTTGTTATTGAAAGTGAAGATGATGATTGATGGGACAAAATGCTATTTAGCTTTGTTTTTGCATTTTTGAAGTTTCCTTACAGGGCAGAGCTTTTGGGAGTACAACTGGGATGGATAAGTGGATATAGTAAATTTGGATAGGCTTTTAGATATTACCAAATTGTGTTCTAGCTGCTACCTCATCCTTTCCTTCCAACTCCCATGGCTTTTCCAAAGCTCGGTGATTTAGATGTTGTGAGGTTAAAGCCTAAAGACTTCAGAAATATGTTGAGAATGTTGGGAATTCATTCCTGCTTTTCAGAGTAGAGATAATCTAGTTTTGGTGATCATAGCAACAAAGTTGAGAAACATGAATGATTGAACATGCTGTTGCAAGCTTCAAGTATGATCATGTATTGACCGGTATAGTGACCCAAACTGATTTTTGGACTTTCATTCCACCGAAAAATTTGCCTTAGGAATTTTTATTAATTCAGGTGGTAGAAACAGTGGGTGTAAGAAGTTCACTTCTAACCAATACAAGTGTTTGAAAGTATGACTTCAACTTAAACTAGTTGAATGTAGATTGTAAGATGATCTTACCTAGGATAAAGTTTAGTTTTTTTAGTGACGTGGGGTCTGGGTTTGAAAGCTAGTCGGATTAGCTATCGTCAAGATTTCTTGATCTTCAATGTCCCTGCATCTGTTCTGGATATTGATCATTGTGAAAGTTTTGATTTGTTTGCAATATGCAAATGTTTTTAGTTCATATTGATGTGTCTAAAAGGAAGGGATATTAAGAGAGAAGGTGTTGTCTATATCTCATGGTTCTGTTAGATTGCAGTAGATGCATTTTTAGATAGATTTTCATGTAAAAACACAAAATCGTAAATGGTCCCAGTTCAATCAGCAGTTTAATTTCATTTCCTAGCATCTTGTGAAATGTTTTAACACTTGCACTATCGGCTTCTGTTTCCAGGGTGTGCTTAATCTTCGAGGAATGACTGACTTGGAATCCAAGCCTGTCTTGCTGTGCGCATGCAATGACAGTTATGTCCGGCTCTTTGATCTGCCCTCGTATGTTTTAACAGTGAATTGCATTTAGCTTACTGCACATATTGTTTTTGCATCTCTTCTGTCCTTTCATGCTGCTTACGCGAATATCATTTTTATTTATTTCCTTATGATTGAAGGTTTTCCGAGAGGGGTAAGATTTTTGCTAAGCAGGAGATTTGAGCCGTTGAAGTAGGTCCTAGCGGTCTGTTTTTCACCAGCGATGGAACTGATTTTAAAGTGTGGAAATGGGCAGAACCAGTTGCCATATCCTGATGCCTTGCACCATTTTATAACACATTCATCAGTATGTATTTTTGTATTATTATTTCATTTTGTTCTTCCTTCCGGGGAGGTTTTCAAGTTCGCGGGAGAAATCGTGGTCCGGAGAAAACAATTCTGGGTTCCTGGTGGAATGTTTAGCACTGAGCCACATCACCTTAATGTGTGCCATAAAGCTCACAGAAATAACACACTGCATGCAGCAGTCTGTTCGCTGACGATTCCGTATTCGTTGCGAATGATTAGTAGTTAAGTGCCAAATTGACTTGTAATTTTACAGGATGTGAAGTTTTAGATTGAGGATAGAGAATAGAGTTAGCAGGTCTTGAGTTTTGTATTTCAGACAAAGTTGATGTTATTCAAAACTGTCAGAGTATGAATTAACTGATCAAATTGTTATCTTCTTCGCCAAATGCTTGAATAAAAAGTGAAGCCTTGGTTTGGGAGCTTTGGAATCCATTTTTGTCTTATGTGTAAGTTCTATTCGAAACGATTGATATATTCGAATGTATTGATTGTAATTGTGATCGTATCCGTAACCCGTTTTTTCGATCAAAGTTAAAAAGCATCAAAATTGTTACACACATAAACAACCATAGGTTTTGAAGAAGTCTAGTATATACTATCTGAATAGGCATCAGTTTTATTGCTTCCAAACCTACATGGTTGAGATCACAGCTTAAACATAACTTTAATGGCGTTGCCACCACGAGCACTGGTTTCAAAAGCTTCTTCAACCTCTTTATGATAAAACCCGAACCTGCGAGTTATCAGCGGCTTCAAATTGATCTTACTGCTTCTTAGAAGCTCGATGCACAGAGGCCAAGTATTTGTGTACGTGAAACACCCGACGACATCAACCTCCCCGCAAACAATCCACGAGCCAATGAGTATTGTCTCTCGTCTGGTTCGGAAAAATCCATCACAAATATAAACCAAATATAGTGCTTTAAACAAACAAGTAAACAAATCGATACAACCTGGCTGCAGCTGGAGTCAAAGGGACAGTCATCTCATCGTGGCCAAGTCCAATAAGGCAAACCTTGCCACCGGCTTTAGTGGCACTCAGAGCAGTTGACATTGTTTTGCTAAAACTTTAACCATTCCGTCAGCACCGAGACACTTAGCAACAGATGGTCAATGCTCATCCACATCAACGATGACAATTCTAGGTGCCCCGAAAGCCCGAGCAGCCAGCAATGTGACCAGACCCATAGGTCCTGCCCCCATGATCAATACATTGGTTTCTGGACCGATATCGGCTCGAGAATAAGCATGAACCGCTACACTCAAGGGCTCACACTTTGCCCCTTCTTCAAAGCTCACATTGTCTGGTAATTTGAAGCACAGATCGGCAGGATGCACTATCTACACCGGAAGCCGACATGTACATTACTAGTCAATTAATGCAGATAGATAACGAGGACCAGGAATCGAACACTGCTTATCGGGCTCACCTGACGGGCAAGAGCACCATGAACCGGTGGCATAGAAAGTATCTTCCTTTCAGGGCATAGATTGTATGGACCTTCCCTGCAAAGATCACACCGCCAGCAGCTGACCCCGACCTCATCTATGATCCCGGCACACTCATGGCCCGTCACCATCGGTTCTTTCACCACATAATCGCCAACCCTTAATGTCTACAAAAAAAAAACATCTAATCCAATATAATTATATAACCCTAAACAATTTGTCGTAACCGGTTTTCGTCCGGGCACGAAATATTTACTTGATAGGAAAAGTGATGTGAATAAATGGTTTTGAAAATAATTTGGGAGTCGCCATCGGCCTTTTGGGTCAGGTAGGTCGAATACCTAAAAAATATATTTTAAAAGAGTTTTTAAGAAAACATCAATTAAAAGATAAACTGATCTGCGTTTTAACCAAAAATTCGTTCTTTTTAATAATAAAAAGGGATTCATGGTCGGTTACGTTTAGGGAAGGATTAACACCCTTACAACGCCCAAAATTAGTACATTTTAATTATAAATTATCTCTATTATTAAAAATTAAAAATTAAAAATATATTTAATTTAAATTTATTATTATAATTTTAAGTAAATTTATTAATTTATATAAATAAGATATTTATTTATTTAGAAATATCAGAAAAGAGCTTCTAAGTGTTTTAAGACAGCTCATTCCTTTGATATTAAAAAAATAAATAAATATTAAAACATTTATCTAAAAAATAGATTAATATATACAATTTATAAAAGTAGGACATTTATTTATTTAAAAATATCAGAAAAGGACTTCTAGGTATTTTAAGACAGCTCTTTTCTTAGATATTAAATAATAAATACATATCAAAATATGTTTATTTTTCTTAAAAGTAATTTATAAAATTAAATTTATAAATAGGATTTTTATTGAATAAACAAATAGAATAAATAAATAAATATTATATAAATATATTTATATAAAATAATACTAGTAGTGTAATTAACCATTATTTATTTAATCAGTGATTAAAATAGAAATATTAAAATTAATAGGGACTAAATTCTTCTCATTATGAATTTCTTCTTCCTTCTTCAGATGAGTTCTTCTCATTATGAACTTTTTCTGGAAAAGCTGATCCATCAGATGATGGATTTGAGCAAAAGGTTGAACAAATTCTTCTCATTATGAATTTCTTCTTTCTTCTTCAGATGAGTTCTTCTCATTATGAACTTTTTCTGGAAAAGCCGATCCATCAGATGATGGATTTGAGCAAAAGGTTGAACAAATTCTTCTCATTATGAATTTCTTCTTCCTTCTTCAGATGAGTTCTTCTCATTATGAACTTTTTCTAGAAAAGCTGATCCATCAAATGATGGATTTGAGCAAAAGGTTGAACAAATTCTTCTCATTATGAATTTCTTCTTTCTTCTTCAGATGAGTTCTTCTCATTATGAACTTTTTCTGGAAAAGCTGATCCATCAGATGATGGATTTGAGCAAAAGGTTGAACAAATTCTTCTCATTATGAATTTCTTCTTCCTTCTTCAGATGAGTTCTTCTCATTATGAACTTTTTCTAGAAAAGCTGATCCATCAGATGATGGATTTGAGCAAAAGGTTGAACAAATTCTTCTCATTATGAATTTCTTCTTCCTTCTTCAGATGAGTTCTTCTCATTATGAACTTTTTCTGGAAAAGCTGATCCATCAGATGATGGATTTGAGCAAAAGGTTGAACAAATTCTTCTCATTATGAATTTCTTCTTCCTTCTTCAGATGAGTTCTTCTCATTATGAACTTTTTCTGGAAAAGCTGATCCATCAGATGATGGATTTGAGCAAAAGGTTGAACAAATTCTTCTCATTATGAATTTCTTCTTCCTTCTTCAGATGAGTTCTTCTCATTATGAACTTTTTCTGGAAAAGCTGATCCATCAGATGATGGATTTGAGCAAAAGGTTGAACAAATTCTTCTCATTATGAATTTCTTCTTCCTTCTTCAGATGAGTTCTTCTCATTATGAACTTTTTCTGGAAAAGCTGATCCATCAGATGATGGATTTGAGCAAAAGGTTGAACAAATTCTTCTCATTATGAATTTCTTCTTCCTTCTTCAGATGAGTTCTTCTCATTATGAACTTTTTCTGGAAAAGCTGATCCATCAGATGATGGATTTGAGCAAAAGGTTGAACAAATTCTTCTCATTATGAATTTCTTCTTCATTCTTCAGATGAGTTCTTCTCATTATGAACTTTTTATGGAAAAGCTGATCCACCAGATGATGGATTTGAGCAAAAGGTTGAACAAATTATTCTCATTATGAATTTCTTCTTCCTTCTTCAGATGAGTTCTTCTCATTATGAACTTTTTCTAGAAAAGCTGATCCATCAGATGATGGATTTGAGCAAAAGGTTGAACAAATTCTTCTCATTATGAATTTCTTATTCCTTCTTCAGATGAGTTCTTCTCATTATGAACTTTTTCTGGAAAAGCTGATCCATCAGATGATGGATTTGAGCAAAAGGTTGAACAAATTCTTCTCATTATGAATTTCTTCTTCCTTCTTCAGATGATTTCTTCTCATTATGAACTTTTTCTGGAAAAGTTGATCCATCAGATGATGGATTTGAGCAAAAGGTTGAACAAATTCTTCTCATTATGAATTTCTTCTTCATTCTTCAGATGAGTTCTTCTCATTATGAACTTTTTCTGGAAAAGCTGATCCATCAGATGACGGATTTGAGCAAAAGGTTGAACAAATTCTTCTCATTATGAATTTCTTCTTCCTTCTTCAGATGAGTTATTCTCATTATGAAATTTTTCTGGAAAAGCTGATCCATCAGATGATGGATTTGAATCTTTGCTAAAATTTTTGAAATTCCTGTCAAATATTCAACATGGATAAAATGAATGAAAATGCTCCTATTTTGCAAATGTCTAAATATGATGCATGAATGTTGATGCAATCTTCATTTGACTTCAAAATGGTGAACTCGGTTTTCCTTCACTTCATCATTTATTGCCAGAGTCACCTCTGGATATCAGTGTAGCAACTTATGCTATCAAGCTTGCATTTCTGAAGAACCATCTGATCAACTTGTATCTTTATGTATTCTTTGATTCATGAAAGTCTCAGAAGAATTGTTTCATTTGTGGAACTCTTGTCGTAGTCAGAATTATGACCTTAATGCCCCATTTTGTCTTGGATAAAACCAACTTTATTTGTTTGGACTTGTGTAGAAATCCCATAAAGTTTTCATCTTTGAAAAGAGAATCTGTCATCTTTAAAAAGAGAATCTATCATCTTTGAAGAGTGTAGATGTAGATATGCCTGACTCAGCAGGGATTAATTAGGAGAGTAGAGTCTATTCTGATTTGACTCTTGAAACATATCACAAGGAGGATTTATTCCAATTCCTTTCATGTCTCCACATCTAATTGGATCTCGAACAAAGCAACTCAAACCATATCATGTAAATATGTTTAACAACAACCTATTGTTTGATCTTAGTTGGCTCCAATAGTTTCTTGTTGTTAAAATTTCAGCTCTCCTTCTGTGGAAAGAAATCTTCATCATATCTCAACTTCTAATCTTGGATCAAAAATGGAAACCATATGATCACAACATTGGTTCAGCACCATAATCACTGGTTCATAAAACAT